GAACTGAGCAGGACTTGGGAAGTCAGATCAAAGAATTCTCCAAGCAGTAAATTTTGCCAATTAAGAGAACTCTTCGATCTCTAAGGTTGGCAGCTTTATTACTCTGGAATAGAGGGTCATGTGCTTGGCTGCCTCAGCTGTGGTGTTATCTTGAGTTTAGAGCACTATGCATATGCTCTTTTCCGACACCGTCAGAGGTCCTTGTGTTCAACAACTTAACCCTATATGGCCCAAGTTCCAGCCCCCAGTGCCCTGACCCACCGTCCACTAGGTCCTATTCCCTAAAGGTCACATAACTCTCAGTAGAGTCACAGGTCAGTGATCAAGCCTTCAGCACATAAAATTTGGTGCATACTTAAGATCTAGATCCAAAATTTGCCTTGTCACTATTTCCCAAGAGGTTTATATGTCAACAGCAGACAGGTCTTTAAGCATTCAATCTTGATCACGTAGTTCCAAAACCTGGAGGAATCACCTCTTTCTTTATCCCATGAACCTTCACTGCTACCATAAATCTCCCTCGTTGCACTGTTTCAAGATAATAAAAACGTGTCTATATAGTCAGATGGAAGTGATTCAGTCTCCATAGTGCTGGGTTTACAGGCCTGTGCTACCATATCCAGCCCAAATGGCAAGATCTTCAATTTATTGCTCTTTATACTGTCATGCGTTCTGACACTTTGCATAATACATACATACATATATATATATATATATATATATATATACACACACACACACACACACACACACACATGTATATATGTCTAATAAGCACTAAAAAAGAAATGATTTTCTGGCCTAAGTTACAGAAATTTAAGATTTAAATGTTTATATAGTCTATTTTAAAGTTACAATGGAAATTTTAAGATGAAAATAAAATGTTCAATAAAATGAATGTATGTCTATTTTAATCGTGAGGTTCAGGATAATTTTTGTGATTAAATTAGCTTATGAGTTCCTGGTGGGGCAAAATGGAAACTAAGACTTAGTTCATTTTTAATGACAATCTGTAATTGAGTCTCATAACAGACTAGCAAAGGACATATTGTGTCTCTAGCACTATCATCTGAAGTAAATTATTTAGCCAGGGAGGTTTATGATAGAGGAGACTGAGTGACATATGTTTCAATATACACTATGATTTTTTTTTAATTTAGAGAAAAAAAGCAAAACAGAAAAAAGGGTAGAAATAATCAGAATTTCAAAAAAAATTAACACTAAGAAAGCACTAACTGATAAATTACATCTTGTCATGTTAGAAATAGTTGTTCAAGTTCTAAAATCGAAGCATAAAAAGTGGATAGACACTCAAACATTGACAGTGCAAACTATTCTATTCATTGATCCAACAAAAACTTAGTAATATGGTAACCATCTTACACACTTAAACATACATAGTTATATCCTTTAGAGCACTTTCCTTCCCTTTCAGTTTTACATTATCTATTATCCATTTTGTATATTATTATTCCTTCAGTTTTTATTATTTTTTACACCAGAGAGACAATGTGATATTTGCAAATATGAGTCTTATTATATTTATTTCACTTATGAGGATAGTCTCAAGTTGTCTCTATCTATAAAAGCTTCAAGATCATCTTTTTTATAGCTGAGCAATATTTCATTGTATAAAAATACCGTATCTTTTTCACCCACTCTGTGGTTGATGAGCATTTTCATTGCTTCCAATATTTAGCTGTAACAAATTGTGCTGCTATAAACATGGGTGCACATATATCACTGTGATGTGACATTTTCAATTTTTCTGGTAAAATACCCAGAAGGAGCATGGCTGGATTGAATGGAACTTCTAATCCTAGTTTTTTGAGGCATCTTCCTACTGATTTCCGTAGTGGCTGCACCAGTCTACACTCCCCTAACAGGGAGCAGTGTTCCTTTTCCCCACAGCCTCGCCAACATTTGTTGTTAGTTGATTTCTTGATGGCAGCCATTTTTTCCGGAGTGAGATGAAATCTCAGTGCTATTTTAACTTGCATTTCTCAAATGACCAGTGATGGTGAACATTTCTTCAAGTATTTATTTACCATTTGTATTTCTTCATCTGAGAGCTGTGTGTTCATTCAAATACCCATTTTTGGAGAGAGTCTTTTAATTTGGGGGGCTTGATGTTTTTCAATTCTTTATATGTTCTGGATATAAGTCCCTTGTCTGAGGGACTGCTGACTAAAATTCTTTACCATTCTGTGGGTTTTCTTTTCACTTTGTTGGTGACTTATTTTAAACTACAAAAACTTTTTAAAATATGAGATCCCAGTTGTTGATTCTTTGAAGTATTTCCCGTGCAGTTTGCATTTTGTTCATGAATTCTCTACCTGCAGCTGTGTTGTGCATGTATATTTCCAATCTTTGAAGCAAAGTGAAAACTTGTAAAGGTAATTGACCAAAAGATGTGGTGAAGGATGGTTCCTTCTGATGGTTCCACTATATCCACATAATAGAGCCAAGATCTCCAAGATTCATTGTAAGGTCTGTACTTAAGAAAACAATAGGTTGCTTGTTAAATAAAGTTTCCTATGTCAACACCACAAAGCTTCTAGCTCAGTTAGCCTGGTAGAAATCCTAGAAATCTTCGCAACAAATGTATTAAACATATATATAGATAACATCTGATGCAAGTGGTCCAGCATCAGCACAGTGAGCAAGTGTTTTGAGAAACACTGATCTAGAAGGTGAATAGCATCTTGTCCAAGTGGTGCTGATACTCTTAGCAAGAACCTATAGTCCAGGAGTTCCAAACCAACTGTTTTCAAACTTGGATGTGTATAATGTGAGATTACATAGAAACTTTGCAAAGATTTCCTGAAAATGGTTTTAAGACATTCAGTTATTGATCCTGAAGTTTCCCTTTTACTGTTTCCTGAACTCCACCTGCAGTGGACATGCATAGCCACCAGGGCAGGATCTGCTTTTCCTAACCTACTCTTTGTTCCTACATCCTCATTCCAAGTCTACTCACCGCCCTGAGATATAAAAACCTCTGGAGTAACAAGCTAAAAATCGGAAATACTGGTCTAGTTACACTCTAAAGTCTGGGGAGAAAATGTTCTCAAAGTCAGATTCAGCATGAATGATCTATTGTTTTGTCAGCTGAATGAACACTAAAAACTACTTTCAACAATAAATCATCACAATCCATTCATGCTAAAACCTTGGAAATACAGCAGCAGGGCACCAACAGGTTCATCAAAGACTTGGCTTTACTTCCATGTGGCAGTGTGAACACAGGTCACTGTGGAGGGAGAAATGACATGTCCGTCACATGGCCAGAGACTGGGAGGAAAGAACCCACGCACTTCAGGCAGGTCCTCATTGCAGCCACGAGGGCTCCATCTCTTCAAAGGGTCACAGACCTGAGATGGTTTTTGTGTATGAAAGTTTGGAGAATACACTCAGCTCGCAGCAGAGATCTTTGGTGAGATTTTCGGTATATCATTCCAAAGAAGCTCAAAGATTTTAATAACATCACAGTAACAACACGGTCTTCATTTTCAGTTATTTATTTGAATGAAGTGTCTTATCACTGGAATCTTTAACAAGGAGAAATAGGGACTGAATACAGAAACTTGTGTCAATCTGGTTTTAATCTATGAATACACAAACATAGAGGTAGAAGAAAAACCCCATCACATTGAATTAATTAAGTGATATTGTTCAGTTTTACTTTTCATATTTAATGTTTATTATATTTGAAAGATACTTATGCTTCTTTGATTAAAATTAGATGCTGCTAGTTGTAAAGATAATCTATACAAAAAGAAAAGTTTTTTATTTAGGGTCCTAAAATCTTAAGAAACAAAAAACCTATTCTGTGTATAGGTGTAAATATCTTTATAGCCAAGAAATATAAAGTATCATTGAAAACACATAAAACATATTACTAAAACATAAGATTTTAATAGAAACGGAATTAAAGAAAATAAAGGAAGACATCTTACTGTAAAAGATGAGATCATGAATATATTTTTAAATGGATGATGGTAGTTATTAATAAATATGTCCTACTTAATATATTAAAGAGTGAAAGTATATTTGTTCCTTGATTCATACTGGGGCTATGGCCAGGAAAACCTATCATAAATTAGAAGTATAATTAAGTCCAAATGTACAGTACTTAATATATCTAGCCTAACTGCGGTCAGACCTGAGCAACAGAGTACAGTGTTGGCTACTTTTGCTGGTGACGAGGTGGTTGACTGGAAACTGTGACACACTGCCTTGCCTGGCATCAAAAATGCCTTCCTACATATCTCTAGCCCAGAAAAGATCAAAATTTAAACTATGATTTGTACACATTAGAAAGAAGAAAAATCGGAAGTGAATTATTTGGTCAGGGACCAACTATGCTTCTATTTCTAAATGTCAACATTTACAAATACACTAGGTATTTTATAAACTACAACACTTAAATGTGATGTGAACAAAATTGTTGCTGTGAATTAGTCATATTCAAAGGAGTATGCATTGTTGTACAGTTCTAATCTGAATTGAGGAAATTTTAAAGTTACTTTTTGAAGCTCTAGATTTCTGGAGTGGATTAGGAGATTTGCCTGAAGTCTTGATTTACTTAACAAGACTTACTGATTTTAAATTGCACAGTGAAGACTACAAAAATTGGAGAATCTTTTAATTGATGTTTATATTCTTTTTATTTGCATATTACAAAGTGAGTAAAAAAGCATCAAATTTTCATACTGTGGACCAATGTGTGCTACGGGAATTTTCCTTATGAATTTTTTTGTTTATTCCAGCAAATGGAGTTATACACGACTGAGCAGGACAGCAGTCTCACAGTGACATGACAGGCAGGTGTTCACTGAGCATCTTCTCATATACCCATAACCAAAGCAGTGTGGCTCATCATCTAGGAGTGAGCACCTTATGCTAGCCCACAGATCATTTGATGTGGACAGCGGGATTCTCCACCTATCCCCAAAAAAGGAGTCAGCTGCAAAGTGAGTTCCTAAATAACTGAACAAATGTTGTTTGCATGTGCTAGCTTGAGGATGTCACAAGTCAGTTCTCCAAGCTCACACCTCAGAGAGGTCAGAATTTCCTAAGGACACAGATCATCGTAAGTCTGCTCAAAAATAGAGGAAAGCAACTTTCACATTCACGTTTCTGCCAACAAGAAGAATATTCTTTAGTCTGCACTGTGTGTATGTAGTATTGTGGGAGTAAGAGATAGACCCTAGAGGGGTCTTCTACCCCCTTTCCTCTTTCTATTCATCTGTTATATCTTGATTCTGATATTGCCATGGTAATCAGCATCATCATAGAACACTTATGTGTTCTCTTAGGCACGGAGACACAAAATCTGAAGGATTTCTCACATCTCTTGGTCATGTCTCAGAAGTTCTGAGTTTATTCAGGTGAGCATCTATCAAGGAAGAGCGCTAGAGTCTGGGAATGTGTGTGAGTGTTTGTGTAGGCACGTGTCTACCCATATGACCTTCCACAAGTACTTAACAGCTAGAGTATAAGGGAAAATGATGAGCATACCATTAGCTGCAGGGATGATGACCATGTACTATGGTACATCAGTTTATGAACGTAATTCTTTCCATGATTCTGGTCACAAACCAAACTAGATGAGAGCCATCAAATTTCTCCATCAGGTCAAACTGGAACCTAACCATTGAATTTGATTTGGTTCTCATCCAATTAACTTTGTGACCAGAATCATGGGAAGAATTAAGTTTGTGAAATGAGGTTCCACTGTAAGTAAAGAAAAGTTTTCTGGAAAGTAATTTGGTGTGATCCATCATAAGACACTCATAGATTCTACATATAAAAAAATATAACGATTGAAATGGCCAGAAATTTATGAACAAATGGATTTGCTACAGATTTATACCTACTGATCATTAATATGATCACTGTTAATGGTGTTAACACTCTAATGGTCATTATTCAACTAACTTCATGATCATTAACAGATGATCAATGAAGAGTCATTACTAAAAGACTCAGAGTTATTGAATAGTCTTGTATTATTACCATACACAGTCATGAAATTTAATAATCCCAGTTTCTTTTAACCTGACATAATCATATACATGGATGTATATGCATAATATACACATTTACACTAAAATAAAAGCAAAGATTATTTAAAAAACTACCAAAGTCTTTAATGTTTACTTTTGTTCATGGTAGTAAGATCATTTGTGTAACTATTTTCATCTTCATACTTTCCTGTGTTTTTCAAATTTTATGCAAGTATCAGTTTCTCTTGTGATGCAGGTTCTTTCAACTGTCAAAAGGCAAAGGAATAGAGGACTCTGGTCATGTTTGATAGAGAAGATTATTATACAATGGTGCAAGCTTTTAAAAAAAAAGAGAATGACCTTTTCTGTCCCTCCTACGAGAGGGGTTTAGAAGATGCACCATCATCTGAATGGAATAATTCAGAATAGAAAAAAGAAATGGACACCTTTTTGTTTACATGCATGACTTTTTCTTTGCAACATCTTAATTTTTTTCCTTTTGAAACCTCAGGAGCTGACAGAGACTAAAGGTTTAGCTGCATGACTTCATGGCGTCCTCAGTCTCCAACGGTGACTGCTCGAAATCAGAGGAGTCGTACTTGGGCCTCAGTTCCAAGGAGAGGACCTCTGGGAGTGATCTCCATTATTCCCACATCTTTCCCAAAAAGACCACAACTCCCTTCAAAGGTTACGTCTCTCGCCGTGAGACTACTACCTTCTACAAAGGATGCATAGTGGGATGCTCAGGCCACAACCTCCCTTCTGTCGATGTGACAGATACAAGAAGGGTAAAAGAATGCGCTGAAAAGAAAGATCAAAATCAGGACAACGCTGACCAGGCTCAAAACCCAAGTGTCGACCTGGTCAAGCAGGTCTAGTCACAGATCCCCGCCTGGTTCTCACCTTTGTGTCACTGGAATCCCTGCCTCGGTCTCAGTATCTAATTAAATTCCATATCCTCTACCAAAACTTGTCTCTGTGCTAAAGTGAACAGAAAAAGGGGCTCGGGTGGTCCCTTGCCCAGCTCTGCCACTTCCTTTCTGGGTAACATGGCACAGGTCACTAAAATTCCTTTCTACAACTTCAGTTACTTCCTCAGTAAACCAGAACTGGCAACGCCTATATCAAAGGTAGTTTTAAGGACTGTTGACATTGTACAGATGTTTTAATGTGTGATTTTATGCCCACTTCAATACGTTTTCTATGTCTCTTGCTTTATAAATATATTTCTTGTTTGATAAAAATCATGTTCCATCCTTAATGCTTCTTTGTGTTCCTTAAATGCAATTCAAGAAAAATCCTTGACAGTAATGTAAGGCTGCAGAAAATAGATCAATGTGTCAATGCTTTCTTCCTCCTGTTTATTAAAGGCACTTTACCCCCAAATAATCTCTCAGCCAAAACAGTAAATTAAGTCTTTTTGTTCTTTTTCATTTCTTTCTCTGCTGCAGTCAGATCCCTGCCTGTCCCCTTTCACCCATCCAGCATTCACTCAACAGCACGGAACTCCCTCAGATGTCTCCGGGGCCACCACTCAGCCTGTCTTTGTTGTGCATTGTTCTTTCTCGCTCAGCCAGGGACACACACACGGGTCAGTGCCTATGGCCTGCTGGCTCCCCACACGCCTTCTCACAGTGGCTGAGGGGCCAACAGCCGTTCCTCAGCCCTAGACACAAGATAGATGCTTCCAAGCTCATGTTCTCCCAACACTTCAGCCAGCAGCATGGGATTGGCAAGAATGTCCACTACATTAGTGTGGCAGGATAGAAAAGCAGGAAGCTGCCCCTCATTCCCTCTGCAGCTGCAATGGACACTGCTTCCCTCAGAGTACAGGGGGAGAAAGAGTCCAGGGTCTGGAGCAGCAGCGCTCCCTCCACAGGTTACACTAGCAGCGGGGAAGGAGCTCGTGGGGAGCATCACAGCCGCCTTCTCCCTGCTCCCAACCATACTTGCAGCTCTTTCCTGCTCTACATTTAGGCCTCCCCTTAATACCTGAGTTCCAAAAGACTCTAATGCTTTGATAAAAACACTGAAGCCCCTGGCTCCTGGGTGTGATGGGGGAACTGCAAAGGATAGGGGTACTCAGGAGAAGCCAAAGAGGAAGGCTGCTGAGCAGAACTTAAAGTCCCCCCCTGTGTCAGACACGCTGGCCGCATGGACGCATCCACTGACCGTGCCTCTGGGTTCAGCACTCGGAAGCTCTGTAGGTCTAGATAACTATTTTCAGCTCGCTTATTCTGAAGATCAGCCTTCTTTCGATACTGAAGAACATGGCCAGATACTATCATAATGGGGGGCAGGGAGAAATGGGGGAAAACCTTCGGAGAATAAGAAATGGAGATCTTGAGGGAAATCTCAGAGGACGTCTGATACAGTCACCATTGGATGCAACGATGCCTTCTGGACACGTGGCCTGCAGCCCTGGCCTGAACTTACTCGGTGAGGAGTGCACAGGGCTGGCAAAGCAGCCAGTCACTGAAGCTTTTCCTCCGATCTAGTCAGATCTTGCTTTTTTCTTTTCTTACCACCCAGAGGCCACTGCCTTTCAGCTCACTTCATTCTCTCAATCATCTAGTGAGGTGAGTGCCATTAGCACCTGACCAGAGTGATCACGGAAGGTTCTAGAAGCACACACAGTTCTCTTCCTAGTCACAGCCTCAACACAGAGCAGGTTGAACATATGGCAGAAATCACAAACTAATCCAAGTGAAACCAGGATGGTGCTAGGATTCCTTCTAAAGGGAGTAGCTGCTTGTTCTGATGGTAAGCCTGGCACTGGTGACAACTCTGACACTGTTTCCATGTCCTTTTATGCAAACGAGGCCACTCCTCACCCCCCACCACTTACATCCCTAATAATGTCCCTGAAGAGACGGTAGAAACAGGATCTTGCTCTGAGGAGAGTCTCAGTTTAATTACTCATTCTCGTGGCCAAACTGTACAAAAACATAATTACATTTGATTTACCCATTTTATTCACTCACTTATAAATTAAAAGAAATTTTAATTAAAAAATAATGAAGCTGAGTGTGGTGGTACAAGCCTGTGAGCCCACTATGCTGGGATATGAGGCAAGAAGATGGACAGTTTGAGTCCCACCTACGCAATTTAGCAACTTAGTAAAACTCAGTCTCAAAACACAAATGCGATACACATGCAAATCTATGAGAAGGCCCAAGGTTCAGTTCCCAGTATCAGAAAAGTTTTTTAAAAAACAAAAAAAAATTTACCGCTTTTCAAAATTTTAAAAAATGTTTAATTAATAGCTAACTTAAGGAGATTAAATTACCTTAAACATCTCCATTAGAAAATTAATTTTTTAACCAATCTTTTCTATTCATTTGAGACACATGAGGACTAGAATTTGAACTGTGGATCTTCGCTTAAATATTTTCCAAGAAGTTTTTGGTTTAAATCTTTCCTCATCCTCATTGTTATTATTAGCACGCTTAGGGATTGAACGTAGGATCTCACATATGGTAGCCAAGCACCCTGTCACTGAGCCGTGCCCCAGTCCCCTAAATTTTCTATAAAATATGTCAAGTACCAGCTTCTTTTACGTGTAACTGTAGTATCAGCTTCTTGGGGGTGTGAGGCAGGCGGGTTACTCGAGTCAAGCTCAGTCTCTAAAATATGGTGAGATCCTGTGTTCAAAACAAAAATTAATTTCCTATATTCTGAGAAGTCACCTATATTCTGAGAAGTAGAATGCTACCCTTTTTAATACATGAACCATTCCTGCTTTCCATTCCACATAGATGATCTGGTTAGAATTCATTCCAAGCAGGCCACGTCTTTCCCTGTCTTCCCTTCCCATTCTTACCAAAACTCACTGTACACAAACTCTATTCAGGTCTTCAAAACATGTTCATTCAACACACCACAGATTTGCTCATATCTGGAAACTTCCTTCCACTGACATTTACATGCCAGAATATTAAATTAAGTTCATGTTTCAAATAATAGTTGACAGATTATTACCCATCAAAATTTATTCTCTCTGGCAGTGGTGCAACCCATTCCCTGGACTGGTGTTGTTCTGAAAATTCTCTCACATACCTCTGTCATCCTCATCCCCTTCTGAACAAAGCTAATAACTATTTGCTTCACCTTATAAGCTTCATGACTGATTTGTAATTCCGATTAGGTTTGCCCATAACATAACATAGTGGTGCTTGCATTTTGGAACATAAGCACAAGAATTGTTAGGAGAATTCATTAAAATGGGGGATATTAGAGATTTATTCTGTTCAAAAAACAGAATCTTTGGAGGTTATCTATATATCTATATATCAGTAGATATAGATACAGATATAGACAGAGGTGTATAGTCAGTACTATTTTGGAATTCTTTTACGTATCACCACAAGCCTGCATACATCATGGCAGTCAATGGAAGTAAAAACAAGAGGTTGCGTTCCCCACAGTAATGAGTTTGTATAAAGTTCAATACAATAGGAACAATGTGAATGCAAAGAACAGTGGTGGATGAGGTAAAATAACTGCAGAAAAGCTGGCATCCCAGTGACTGGAACACTAAAAGGAAAAATTAGTAAAGGAATTGAAAGCTGTTTCAAAAGCGTGGGAATACGTGGGCACTGAAAAAGTGCATTTTGACAGAAATTGCTGCAGATTCATGTGGGAAGAGGCACCGGCTAAACTGATAAATAGATCAGAAATGTAAAAACAGCTGGTGTAATTTACTTTAACAAATACTGGGTACTTACTATGCAACCAGGATTTGCTTACAGTGTATCAAAAAGCATAGCTCCTAAATCTGATTTGTATCAGACACCGATACGGAGAATTTAATTTTGGTTGCAGGGAATTAAACCTAGGTCCACATGCATGCTACAGCCTCTACCACTGAGCTAAATCCTCTAGTTGGGGAAATTTTAAAAAATAAAGTCCTTGACACTATGTGCAGGCTGACTGGGGGAGAGCCAGACGCCAGCCATCTCCTATGAATCGTGCCATTTGTGGACTTCATGGGGTGGTGCGGAGGAAAACAAGAAGCTAAGACCTCCTGTGAGTCGGTGTCATGTGTAGGCTGGCTTGGGGAGGGCCAGACGCCAGCCCTTTCTGGCTCATGGGCAGGGAGACAAGAAGAGCTGTCAATGCCCCCCATGCCCCGTGGGTGACCAGCTGGTCCAGAGGAACACAGACTGTGAAGATAGATAATGAGGTGAGACACAGCTTAATGCTTGCAATGTTTCGTGTTTCACTGACTTTGCAGGCTTAAAGCAGGTTGTCTAATTATCTATTAAGAGGATAACAATACACAGTGCAGCATCTATGGGGGATCTCCTTCTGAAGGTGGTGGCCATTGTTAATTCCCTATTATCTTGCTCCAAAGTCCTGTATCACATTGTTTTGTTTGGTCGGGTTTTATTCTGTATTATCTTGTTTGATTTTTTATATTTGATGACATGGGCAGGTAAAATATATTACGGTAGCCAGTTCGGATTTACTATTATCTTGTTTTGTATTGCATTCATTGTTCTGTTTTTATTGGTTTTATTTTGTTCTTTTTTGTTTGATTGTACTATATCTGAAGGTATAGGCAGCTATTTTGTCTTTTGTCGTTTTTTTTTGTTGTTGTTGTTGTTGTTGTTTTTTTATCGGTACCAGGGATCGAACTCACGACCGCCTGCCAAGGCAGGCGCTTATGCCGCTGAGCTAAATCGCCAGCCCCAGCTATTTTGAAGACAACAAGAGGCATTATGGTAAACCCTGTTGATTTTATATTATTTTGTTTTGAAATTCTGTGTCACACTGTCTTGTTTTGGTTACCTTTATTCTGTTTTGCTTGGTTTTATTCTCTATAAAATAAAGTTTGAAAAGATCCTTGGGCTCAGGAGGCTGAGGCAGTGGAATTATAATTGCAAGGCCAATATGGACTATAAGACAAGGTCTTGTTTCATAAAAGGGGGATCTGATACAAAAGATTTCTCAGTATTAATAAGAAGAGATTTAAACAATGCATGCACTGATTCCAGAGGTCATTATGGGTCATAAGGATAAAATTTTCTTCTACCAACTAATTTTCACAAATTACTATATCTTTACAAACCACATGAATAGTAGTTTTTTGTTTGTTTGTTTGTTTGTTTGTTTTTGTCTTTTTCCTTTTTATCGGTACCAGGGATCGAACTCACAACTGCTGCTTGCAAGGCAGGCGTTTATGCCGCTGAGCTATACCTCCAGCCCCTGAATAGTAGTTTTGAATAATAAGTCAACCACCATAATATAGGAATAGCC